GGAACCTGGATATTTGAGATTCCCAGCACCTGCTAAGTGGGCTTCTGAGGAGCCGGAGAGGTGAGCAGATGAGGAGGAAACCAGACAGATTCTCAGAAAACAGCCTGGCTTTCATTGAAAATTTGTCATAATCAGCAGGTTCCCTTGGAATGTTTTGATTTTAACAAATCAGCATATTCTGATGGAAATAGGTTCTGCTTGAAAATTTCCAACAGCTTTAGTTTTAAAGAAACAGAACATTTTTTCCATAGGTCAAAACTCAAAGACTTAGTTGTGTGTCTCATTACCAGTCCCTCCAGTCTTCCATTTCTGACTTTGACTTCAGCTCCACACTTTAAAAACAAAAGTGCTAATACAGCTTCTGGTGTAATGGTACATGCCGCCATCTCACTAACAGCCAGCCTAATGAGCATCCCTCCAATGAAGCAGTGCTGATTAGGCACACTGGGAGAACATGCTCTACCTGGGGAAGGGGAGCTTAGAAAGGTGAAGCTGGCCAGAGAGCAGGAAGGTTTGCCCAAGAAGAGAGGCTGCTAGGGAGCCTAGTAGCCAGAGAAACCTAGCCCAGCCCAAGGCAGTGGCTAGCCTTTCTCACCACCCCAACCTTGTTTAGGGTAGACAGGCATTGCAGCCCTGAGGGGGGCTCTGAACATTTGATCTCTGTCAATGCCTTGTAGCTGGACCTGAGGAGCATTGCCAGGGACTGGAGATAGTTAGACTCAGAAAGGATACCAAGAGTGAGCTTACCACTCACAGGAAACACAGAGCTTGCCCAGGAATGAGAATTCCAGGGGAGACCCAGGAGCAAAATGTAAAGAGATGATGGCTAAGCCCAGGCTGAGATCTGGCCAACTTCACCTTGTTGACCCCCTTTTCTTCTGGCAATACAAGGTCTAATTTGCAATATTGTCATTGGCTATTTTTCCACCCTTAATTTCTCCATCCCTCTGCAATGCTACACCTGGCAAAACTCTCTCTCTCTCTCTGTTGCTTTTCTTTAATATGGCCTCACCACTTTAATATCTGAGTGCCTTCTAAAAGTATCGAGAACACACAAAGATATATTTCTCTCAGGCATGATGGCCCATGCTCACCTTGATCTCTTCCTGTAGTGAGATCCACATTTATGGGCTAAACTACATTCAAGTCTATACAGATGTTGAACAGGATGGGAGTAGAGGATGGATCTCTGGGGGGACTACACAGATGAAAGCTTTGGGGGTGCAGAAGCAGGTGCCCATCAAGAGATGTGACTGGAGCTATTTCACGGTGATCCTGCTAACTCCTGCTGCATATCTGAAAATCAGCAGCAAAAATTCACGATAGACTGTATCAAATGCATACCAGTTCACCAGTGTGTTTATGGATGTATGACTTTTGTCTGTGACTAAGGGGTGATTTCTATTCCCCTTGTGTACCCAGCCAGCTCTGAAAGCTGACGAGTAAGGGGTCATGAACATGGACCCACACCCCTCTGCCCTTCCCTGCTCTGTTTGGGGTGACTCTCTCACCTTTGAGAGCAGTAGGAGAGAGTAGTACCTTTTGTCCTTTCAGCACAGGCACTGCTACTGTGTCATTCCCTTCTACACAAATGAAAACCACATAAGGCCTGTCACAGATCTAGCCAGGAATTCCCTTCCAGCTATCCATCGGACAAGACTCTGTGTGCCTCAGTCTCCCAGTGTTTTAAGCCTCTAGCTTCTCAGCAAGCTGCAGTACTGTTTCCTCTCTTGGCCTCTCTGGGCCAGTTCCTTGGGACTGACTCTTGTCTGTTACCTCTTCATAGAGCAGAGTCCTGCAGCCCATCTGTTCTAGGCCCTCAGGGCCAATGCTGATCCCCAAAATATCCCAGTTATGTAAACACATCCTTTCCGAGAACTCCACCCCAAAGGTCTGAAGCTTCTGGTTTATGATGCAACTCTCTCAGCGACATACAGTAATTTTAAAGCATGGAGAGACACTTTTCCCAAAGTCTAACACTTTAATAAGTGCTTTTTCTTAATATCTTAAAGGATCAGGATAGTATAGATCATATAAAACCATGAACACTACTTGCATGTCCTTTCTAGCTCATCCGTCTCTTGGGAGGCCTTATGGAACATTGGTGTCTAAGAAGGCAGGCAGGCATGGCGTCCCCTGACTAATGCAGGCTGATACATGCTGGTTCATCTCCTCATGGAGTCTCTTTCCCAGATTGTGTGGACTTTTTCCCTCTCCTGCCCCACATTTCTGATTTCTGTCTGGCTCCAATATTCCTGTATGAAACCCTATTTAAACCCATCCTAGTCACCTGATTGCTGCTGTTCTACTCCTGTAAAATTTCAACTGTTCCTACCTTCCCTTCAGAGAGGTAATATAACAGTGTGTGTTTTGTTGTTGTTGTTTTTAAACTATGCAATTGCTTTTTACCATAGGACCAAAGAGTCATCATTAACCTTAATTATTCCCCATTGTCCCTGTGTGGTGTATACCCATTATAAATGGTGGATCCAAATACATATAGGCACTCAAGATACAGCATTTTGAATAATACAACTTCACAATACCAACCAGAATTCATAATGAACACAGATAGAGCTGGTTCATCACAAGGCCATATTCATTTTGTTTTTCAGCTAGAAACAAAATAGATGTTGAGGGAAGATCTCTTGAGGAATTGATCCCACATCACTATTCCTAACTTTAAATTTTAGAAGACATTGGAGAAATACACAACCTCACTGCTTCTTATCAGCTATGGATTCCTGTTTTTTCTCCTTCTCTTCAGGATTTCTTTTTGTTTGGTAAACAATACCATTGGTTCAACATATATTTAGAATGTGTTGAAACAAGAAAAGATTATGGGAGCGTCACTCTTTCTTGATCAGCTACTGCCAAGAGTTTCTCACAGATTTCATGATCCATACATCCCTAGTATCTTCCTTCCTGTTCCTCATGACATGAGGCCCTTAATCTAAGCTTTACCTACTATGAATCATTCAAGATGTCCTATATTTCTGAATGCAGATCCACCCACAAGAGGGAGAAAGAAACATAGGCAAATAAAAAGAAATCTGTGTGATAAAGAATATAATATCAACACCAAAACAGCACAATCATCTCCTGGAATAAAATAATTATTTTCACTAAGGGAATTTCCTGAAGTCTCTGAAGAATGTAAGGAATTATTGATAGCAATTAAAATGCAGAGATCATATGGAATGCATTTTTGCAAGATCTAAGCATTGATTTCTGATAAAACTTTACATTTTTTATAATTATAAATGTCTTTATAAGTGGAAATTGTACTAATCTTCTTGGATCAGGATATCCATTTATAATGGTTAAGCACTGTAATAATAGTTTGCTAGCAAAACCATCATTCTTACTGTGCTAATGTGATGTCATCTGTCATTACACAATGTGACAAAGTTCCTCCTCTATCTTGGTGGATCCTTATTGGCTGATTTTCTTGCCTCAGAGATTCACCATGTGGGTTGGGGAACAGCCCAGAGACCTTCCCTTCTGGAAGAACCCACAGTCCAGGTCAATTGGGAGGTTTGGGGGAAACCCGGGCCCACCCTCCACTCCGGGTTCCTGCCCAGGGCCTGTGGACTGCAGCTGTCTATAGTACCTCCTGTAACTGCTGCATGACAGCTACAACTCCCTGGGCTACTTCCCCATGGCCTCCTCCAAACACCTTCCTTATTCTCACCACAGGACCTTCCTCCTGGTGTCTGATAACGCTTGTGCTCCTCAGTCTTCCAGCAACACACCCTCTCACTCTCAGCTCCTTGCGCTTCTTGCTCCCAGCTCCTCACACTCACACCACCAACTGAAGTGAGCTCCTTTTAAAACCAAGGTGCCCTGATTAGCCTGCCATAATTGATTCTAGCAGCTTCTTCTTAATTGGCTCCAGGTGTCCTAATTAGCCTGCCTGCCTTAACTGGTTCTAGCAGGTTCCTGATTACTCTAGTACAGCCCCTGCTCTGGTCACTCAGGGAACAGAAAACTACTCATCCAGTGACTGTTATGTTTGCCCTCTACCAGACTCCTGTACCCCACTGGTCTGGGTCTGTCACAACAAATACAAGTTTCAAGGTAATTATCAGATTGCAGCTATATTTTTGTGTATGTTGTTAATAGACATTTATTTTAATGGTAATTAAAATATCAATAAGTGGCAATAAGGACATTTTGTTTTAGTGTTATTTCAAAGGTTTTGAAGGAATAGCAGTACTTATAAAATTGATCTTTTGCAAAAAAGGAAAGCACTAAATTTAACAAAAAGCCTCTTGAGGGGGTCTAGCAGGTATTATGGATCAAATAATTAATGTTCCCCTTTCAATTTCTTTTTAATGTTCCTCTTACTGTCAAGTGATTTAGTAGAACTCTACCCTCACTTGCTCCAGATAATTGCCCGGGTTACCTGTCCTTGAGTCTCTAATCTGTTTCTTGTCACATAATATTGTAGGTAGCTGTGGTTAAACAGTTCATCTTGAAACATGCACAAGCGTGGTGGCATTATCTGGAGTGAATGTGGCTATTTGTCAAGGTGATCATTAGCCAGCAGATGGAGGGGAAGAGATGGCTGATTTATGACTTGGTGCTGGCTGACAGCATGCAGTAGACCAAAGTTAGTTTTGATACTGGTAAGATGTTGTATTTAAAAACAAGTAACCTTTTTTGTTGTTCCTTAAAGTCTTTCACAGCTATTCCATTTTGCATTTCACTAACTCTATGCATTACATATACAAAAAATACATTCATATACTAGTAGCAAAGCTGGTGATATTATCCATTAGAATAATATCCATTGTAAATATGGTCTTTTTATTCTGCAGCTAATCATTCATTAAAAAATCCAAATTTATATTAATGTATTTATTATTTGTTATATTATTTGTATGCTTTACACAAACAATATTCAACCTATGAGTTATTTGCTAATTGTTCCCTTCATGTACTATTTTCAAAAATTAATCACTTAAGATCCTATATCTCACTGAAAGGCTGTAGGAACACACAGCTCCCGAATTGCTAGTTCACGGCTGCGGCACACTGCGCCCGTGGCTGCAAGGCCGGAGCGGCCTACACCCCCACGCCTGTGATTAGAAAATATTTATTGGCTGACCTAATCATCACCCTCGCTGCTCGCTTTGACGTGCACAAGATATGACCTTGTTAAGTCATGTTGATGAGTATTATATGCTCCTCCTATGCGCAGAAATTCAACCACTTATAAGTGTTGTAAATAGAAAAGCAAGATAATAAAAACCCCAGAGAAAAGTCCCTGGGAGGCTTTTTCGGCTACCACGACCTGGCGCTCTGTCTCCTTCCTTTTTCGTCGCCACAAAAGGCATTGAGAAAATGAGCCTTAAGTTCCTATGCACTTAGATACTTTCTGAAAATTTTACCCTTCAGCTTTTGTTATTTCATTTCACCGTTTGTTATTTCTGGTGTATGATGGTCACCTAAATGACAAAGCATGAGATGAATCAGTCACTGGTAGCTGCATTGCTCATTGTAAATGCAGAAGAGTATTTTTATTCATAGAGCTGATAAAAGACAAAAAAGAATTTTGTTTATTCTTAACAAGTTCAGCCATACTGTGAAAAAGATGGAAAAACATGGCTGCTCCAACTGGTTGATTTAGCAACCAAGACATCATTCAGTCAAAATGTGTTTGTGTGGGACAGCTTATATCAGTACTCTGCAGAAAGCAGAAGGAGAATATTTTCCACAAATTCTTTGAGGAAAAAATAGCAGAAAGAGGGGTTATATTGATGATACTTGGTGGGCACTAAAAGAACAATAAGTGCTGTTTGTATTAGCAAATGAATAAATAGACAACACTTTTAATGTGCCCTCTGGATATATATTGTAATGAGTAGAGGAAGAGAAACATTTCCTGTTCATCTAGATGACAATATTGAACATCTCTAGTGGCTATGAACCTTTTAAACAAAACTTTTGTTTACTATGCTAGGAATTTTTTACATTTTTTGTTTAATATTTTGGCATAAACCATGGAATGCCCTACATTTGAAGGTGGAAACTGACAATTTTTATAAAGGACATATATTTTTCAGAGAAACAAAATATTTTTTGTAGAGATTATTTCTTTCTTAAAAGATCCGTCTTGGACTAAGGAAAGTTAAAATATCCAGTTGGCCTATACTTTGTAAACTTTGATACTTACAAGTTTTATGTTCTTTTATATATTTTAAGCCCAGTAGAAGTTGAAATATTTCATAGATGAGAGGTATAGAGCCATGCAAACCTAATACATCCATAAACTTCATGGGCAAGACAGTGCAGTATAAACCTTGTAAAATAAAAAAAAATCACAAACTTCAATTCATCATTTAAACCACACTCAGAATCTTATAGTATGTTTTTGTGCAAGTGCAAAAAATTGACTAAAGTCAGCACTTAAAATATGACAGAGATCTTCTAGAACCATTAGATTTACATAAAATACTTATAATTAATTATTGTGAACTCTGAAATTCCATGGGCCAATTTTAGTTATAGAGGATCACAAGCTAAATATGACTTAACAGTGTAACACTACTGCCAAAAAAAAAAAAAAAAAGTGAACATCATTCTGGGACATATCAGCAGGAGTGTTGTAAGACATGAGAAGTAATTCTTCCACTCTACTCTGCACTGATTAGGCCTCAGCTGGATTATTGTGCCCAGTTCTGGGCACCATATTTCAGGAAAGATATGAACAAATTGGAGATATTCCAAAGGAGAACAACAAAATGTATTAAAGGACTAGAGAACATGATTTATGAGGAAAGACTGAAGAAATTGGGTTTGTTAGTCTGGAAAAGAGAAGACCGATGGGGATATAACAATTTTCAGGTATATAAAGTGTTGTTACATGGAGGAGGGTAAAAAATTGTTCTCCTTAACTTCTGAGGATAGGACAAGAATCAATGGGCTTAAATTGCAGCAAGGGAGGTTTAGGTTGGACATTAGGAAAAACTTCCTGTCAGGATGGTGAAGCATTGGAACAAATTGCATAGGGAGGTTCTGGAATCTCCTTCATTTGAGGTTTTTAATAATAGTTTAGACAAACACCTGTCTGGGATGCTTTTATTATTAATTAGTCCTGCCTTGAGTGCAGGGACTGGACTAGCTGACCTATTGAGGTCCCTTCTAGTACTGCACGTCTATAATTCTATGTTCAAAATTTAATTCATTTTGCAAGTTTATTTGTAAAAAGCTTTATTTAGCTTATATTAAAAACTAGCAAAAACGATGCACCTGAAAAAATGTGTTTTTCCTTTCTTGTGTAAAATGATGAAATGCACCAGTATTAATTTTCATAACAAACTGCTTACACAGTACTAATTTCTGTTTGTGAGCCTGGTAATTATTTCATTTTTCACACAACTTCATGACAACAGCCATGTGCTGTACTGATGCACCTAAAATATGCATATATTCTGAAAATTGCTATAGAAGGAAGACACATTTTCCCCCTCAAAATACTCAGAGAAAACTATTAATAGTGATTTCCCACTCAGGATCTTCGTACATTATCATTCCTTTGGTGGGTTGGGCTCATCTACATAACAAAATGGGACAGCTATGAGCCAGAGACCTAACATACCTTCAATACTTCTAGGTGCCCCTACCCAAAGTTCATAGCTGCATGGCTCCCTTAGGCCATGCTGATACTACTGTTCTGCTTGCTACAACTCCAGAATTTTGCCTCCCTATAGGGAGTTCACTTAGCAAAAACAGCTCAGAAACTTAAAATAGTGATGATACTGTCAGCACTGTTTGCTTATATATTCTTACTTTGCATAGCTTTTGTTAAGTCTATGTACTTTGTAAAGAACCAAGTGAAGAAGTGTTTGTGTAACTGATCTGCATTTTTATTTATTTCTGTTTCTTTGTGTTTAAAACATTAGGCTATCTTACTTGAATAATTGCAGGAGGTTTTCAGGGGATGATATGACAGGCATCAGCTATCACTATCAACTCACCATATCTATACTGAGACTGGTGGCAACTGTGAGTATACTTTTGGAAAGCTTATGCTGTGGAGCTAACACTTTCCTTTATTCTTTTGTCCATTCCTAGAATAGTTATCAAAATAAAAAAAAATAAAAAAAAATCAGTCCTGGGAAATGTAGTAACTGTCATTCCCATTACTTTGTAACTAGATATGTTCAAAAGTTTTCTGACAAAATGTTCTTCCATCGGAAAATGCTCTTTCATTGAAACTGAAACTTTCCACAGCAATGTGTCAATTTGGAGGAAATTTTGTTTAGAAAAAAATCATAACAAGGCATTTTAAAAATGTCAAAACGGAATATTTTGAAGGGGGAGGGTCAAAATACCTTTGTTTAAAAAAATTATATTATAAAAAATGTAACAAAGTCAAAATAAATAAATAAACGCATTCCAGTTTTGATTTTGACTTTTTTAATTTTTTTTATAATATAAAATATTTTTTTAAACAAAGGTATTTTGAACCCCTCAAAAATATTAGGAAAATATATTTCACTAGGAGGGTGGTGAAGCACTGGAATGGATTACCTAGTGAGCCAGTGGAAACTCCATCCTTAGAGGTTTTTTAAGGCTCAGCTTGACAAAGTCCTGGCTGGGATGATTTAGTTGGAGTTAGTCCTGCTTTGAGCAGGGGCTTGGACTAGATGACCTCCTGAGGTCTCTTCCAACCCTAATCTTCTATGATTCTATGATTCATGATTAAAAGGAATAATTCTTGCTTAACAATATCTCATATGGTATTAAATGTCTTTTCTGGGAATAGTGTCATTTGGAGGTGGCAGCTGTCAGGTCCTGTTAAAATCCTATCCTGGTTTCTTTCTTTCTTTCTTTCTTTAGACAAATGCATCTACTCTGTCTCACAGGTTTTCAATGTAATTGAAAACAAACATTGCTTGAATCTTAGTGAGTAACAAGGAAGTTAATTTATTCAGAGGAACTTATTTAGTGGGACTGACTGTGGATTCATTTTATTCTGCTCCTGGCTGTGGCTTGTGTGTTTGATGAATCAGAGAAAAATGAGCTCATCAGACTGGGCTGTCCTTGTGGTATTTCTGGACAGTGGGTTTTAAAGTATTATATTTTTTTACAATATATCTTGCTAAAATTTTAAACCAGTTCCTCATTTCCTCAGTGAATGTTTATTCCATCTACCAATAAGGCTGCAGCACAAACTGCAGAGAATAGACTGATGCCTTGTACCACAGGCAGAAGTCATAAAGACAGAAATAACTAAAAGAAGCCTACAAGATACATCTTCAGTTATTTCCCCATGTAGCGGGGTAGTCATTCCGCTCCTGCCCGGAGGGATTAAAAGCAGCCCTGGAGAGGGTTGTGGCTGGGGAAAAGGCTGATTGGGGAAGCAGTCACAGCTGAGGCCGCGCCCCAATCAAGCCACAGCTGGCCCTATAAAAAGGCTGTGAGCAAGGAGATCAAAAGGAGAGTCTCTCTCGTTTGCTTCAGAGAGAGAAGGAGCTGGCTGCCTGGGAGCTGAGAAGGATACCTGAGGTAGAGCAGTGCTGGGGAAGGGCAAAGGGAACAGGGGAGCTCCAGCCTGATAAAACCCCAGGCTGCAGGCCTTGAAAAGGGCCTATGAGAAGGTACTGGGGCTGTAGAGGGGCAGCCCAGAGATAGGCAAAGGCAGCAGGTCCTAAACCCCTTGCTGATCATGAGTGGCCATTACAGACTGCAGTCTGCCCCAGTGAGTGGGGGGCTAAATGGTGACAGGCAGTAGCCACTGAGGCAAGGTGGGGATAGAGGGTTGAGTGTTACCCTGGGTGGGGAGACACAGATTGTGGATTACTGCAGGGGGCAAAACCCTAATGTAAAGGGCACTGGGGTCCGGGAGTGACACAGGGGCCAGCAGCAGGCAAGACACCGGCCTGCAGAGGGTGCTCTGGGCTGGAAGAGCTAATTCCTGAGACAACCATAGACTCATAGACTTTAAGGTCAGAAGGGACCATTATGATCATCTGGTCTGACCCCCTGCATGCTGCAGGCCACAAAACCGTCCCCACCCTTTCCCTGACTCTGCTGATGAAGTCCCCAAATCCTGTGTCTTAGTGACCTCAATTGGCAGAGAACCCTCCTGCTAGAGATCCCTGCCCCATGCTGCGGAGGAAGGCGAAAAACCTCCAGGGCCTCAGCCAATCTACCCTGGAGGAAAATTCCTTCCCGACCCCAAACATGGCGATCAGCAAGACCCCGAGCATGTA